GTCTCTTAGCGAGAGGGCAGAATGGAATTACACCACTCACCAGAGGCCCATTAGGCCGAGTCTGGGGCTCCTAGCACCCAATACCAAGTAAGGATTTCAAAACCCATCCCTGGCTTTCTGCTGCTCCCAGCAGGAGGCTAGAGGTCCAGTCACAGGCAGCCAGCCCTAGGCATAACTGCTCCCTCCACATTCCGACCCATGCTCTCAATAGAGAGGCTGTTCAGTCAGCACGTCCCAGCAAAGGATCAGAGAGTGGGGAAAGGTTCCAATTCCTGGGGGCTCAAGAAGGCTGGACAGTAATTTTGTATAATTTATTTTATGTATGTATGTATTTATTTATTGAGATGGAGTCTCACTCATCGCCCACGCTGGAGGGCAGTGGCATGATCTTGGCTCACTGCAACCTCCACCTCCCAGGTTCAAGCAATTCTCCTGCCTCAGCCTCCAGAGTAGCTGGGATTACAGGCACCCGCCACCACACCCAGCTAATTTTTGTATTTTTAGTAGAGACGAGGTTTCACCATGGTGGCCAAGAAGGTCTCGAACTGCTGGCCCCAAGTGATCCGCCCGCCTCAGCCTCCCAAAGTCCTGGGAGCCACCCCGCTGGGCCAGAACAGCCATTTTGGAACAAACTCTAGTAGTTTCCTTGGTGTCATCCTTCATTCCTTCCCTTCTCTCATATCCATATCCAAACCACCAAAACCAGAAGCCACCCTCAGACAAGCCCATCCTTGCCATGAGTGAGTGCCTGCTGGGTATCTAGATTGTTATGTAAAATCTCCTGAACTGGAACCTTTCCCCACTACTGGCACTTCCTTTAAAATATACCCAGAATCCAACCACTTCTTCACCATCCCCAGTGCCACCATCCAGATCCAAGCCATCATCCTCTCTTGCCAGGTCCTGAAGCTAGAATGCTCCTGATAAGACGGAAATCAGATCACGGCACTTCTCTCAAAACCCTGCAAAGTAAAAGCCAACGTTCTCAAAAACGGCCTGTGAGCCCTCTACAGACCCCACTGCCAAACCTCATCCCATCACTCAACCTGGTGCCTGCTGAGCCAGCCTTCACACCATCCTCTCTGCTCCTCCATCATGCCCTTGACACCTGCAAGTCCCTCTTCCCCTGCTTCCAGAAAATGGCCTGCTTCCTCCCCTCCTCAGTGATTCCTTCAGTGAGGACTTTTCTGGCTGCCCTATCCAAACTTTTGTGCACACCTTTCTTGTCTTTTTCTCCTTAGCTCTTCTCTTTTTTGTGGGGAGCGGAGGCAGGGTCTTGCTTTGTCACCCAGGCTAGAGTGCAGTGGCACAATCATACCTCACTGCAGCCTTGACCTCCTGGGCTCAAGTGATCCTCCTGAGTAGCTAAGACTACAGACACGCACCATTGTGCCCAGCTAATTTTATTTTTTATTTTTGTAGAGACAGGGTCTCACTATATTGCCCAGGCTGGTCTGGAGTTCCCAGCCTCAAGCAATCCTCCCACCTCAGCCTCCCAAAGTGCTGGGATTACAGGTGTGAGCCACAGTGCCTGGCCTTCCTTAGCTCTTGTACCCATATATCACGCTAGTCAACGTCTATCTTGTTTACTGTCTGCCCCCTCCCACATCAGAATTCGAGCTCCTAAGGGTTTTGAAAGAGTCTCTGCTGGTTTCATTTCCAGCTCTATCCCCAGCACCCGGCATGGTGTCTGGCACAAAGTAGGAGAACACTACTTTTGCCAAAGACATAAATAAAGGTCAAGTTGAAGTCAACGCCATCTGTGGTCAGGGCTGCCCTGCCCTCATCTTCTGTTTCACTGAATGTGCTTCCTCCCCTCTCACTCATCTGGTATGCATTGCCACACAGGGGCCAGTGAGTTCTTACCAGCAGCCTGCACCAGATGTACACAGGTGGCATCTCTCACCAGCACTGGGCCCCATGCCCTGCAGAAGCTTACAACCTACAGTGTACTAATATTTGTAATCTGCTGGTATTTTTAACATGAGTTTACAGAGTATAAACCCCAGAGAAGGCCACTGACTCCAGCTTCCAGTAATCCAAGAGCAGTTTCCAGCACCTCATACCCTGAATGGAACCAGCCCAAGAGCCCTCAACTTCACACAGAAGATCTGGGAGCAGGCCTCAGCCATTCCAAAGAGGCTTTTCCTCAGTACCTACTAGGCCTAAACACAACCACCCAAATCAGCTCTGGCAGGGCAGCTAGGGCCTTATCTGACATGGCAGAAAGATCTGCACACTTAAGGGGCAAGAATTAAGAAATTTCTGGGTTAGGAGTGGAGTAAAGGAAGGTTAGATAAGTAATTCTCCCACTGGGCGGTTCACAGAACTGGCCCCCACTGCCCCAAGCTCTAACTTACCAGAAACATCACCAGCAGTCGCTAAGCCTATGGCGTTGCAAAATAGGAAAAGATGCGTGCAGGAATTACCAGGCAGCAAAGACACGGGGCTCTTTTAGCCCAAAAATATTCTTTCCTTGTCATCAAGGGGAATGCCAAGTATTCTGTCTCCAGCTGCGTTGCCAGGTAACAAGTTGGCAGAGTCGCAACTGTATGTAGTCTGATGTCCAACTCAAAAACCAAGCAATTTCCCCATTCATAACCAACCCACATGGGGACTTCTAGAAGGACCCGCAACTGACTACTTTTTCTGCATCCAAATTCAGGACCCTTAAAAGGGGCTTTGTGTTCCAGTTTTGTGTTTTTTGTGTTGTTTTGTTTCTTTTTTTACCATCAAGGCAGAAAAGAAGGGAGAATTAAAGATTGTAGCTCACTTCCACCGTATTTTTGCTGAAGGTGGTGTGCTCTATGGGAATCTTAGGGGCCTGGGGCACTTGGAAACTGGGAGTTGCTGGGCTGATCCCTGAGACAGATTCCCAGAGGTACAAAAGCAGACATGCCCCTTTCTCCTTGGGAGGGGAGGCAGGACTGGGGCCCAAGCCTCCCTACCCCCCAGCTCTAGTCAGCTGCTCCCACAATCCGGTTAACCATTACCTCCTCTGGTGAGGCCAGGGCCGGCGGGCCCCACCCCCTCTTCCGCACTCTCCTGGCTCACTGCAAGGGGCTCCTGGCCAGATTAGGATAGGAGTTTCCATGACAACAGGCATCAGACAGGGCCAAGGGACCTACATTGTTCCCTGCCTTTTGTAGCTGTGTTGGGTAGCCAGGGTGAGGGGGCAGGCCGATGCCCACACGCCAGGCAAGGCAGCCTGCGTTGGTAACGGAGGCTCGGGTTAAGTCTTGCTTATTACGACCCGACTACTGTCTTCTCTCCTAAGCAGGAAGCTAAAGGTACCCAGAAGCCGTGGGAACAATTCCGCAAAGTGACATTTTGCGCGGGCTGCCAGATCTCTGCGGCGAGTGAGCCAGGCAGGGAGGGCATGTGCCTGCCAAGGCAGGTCAAGTCAAGGAGAGGCCCCAGGATGGAGCCTCAAGTGCAGCGATGAAGGCGAAGGGGTGCGGGTGGGGGCGGCCAAACAAAAGGGGAAAATTAAAAAGGAAGCTCCTCCAGCTGTGTGTAAAAGGCTCCAAAAATAGCTGACGTGGGCCTGGTATCAGCGTGCGCCTGGCTGAAAAGGAAGGGGAAGTGCATGCCTCCCGCCTCCCAGCCTTTGTCTGAGCAGGGGCCGCGCCACGACCCTCCCTCTCGCCAGGGGAGCGCGCGGGGTGCTCCAGCCCCCAGCGGGTGCTAGTCTCGTTCCAGGGGCGCAGGGCGGGCAGGCCACCCTTCGGGTCCCGGACACTCTCAGGACCCCCTCCCGAAATACCTAGGGGCGCGCGGCAGCCCCGAGCCCCCGCCCGCGCAGAACTGGCCGTCGCCCGGGCCACCAGTTGCCACCGTCCCTCAAGTCCCCACCCCACCGCCTGGCCCGGCCGGGAAGCTCCGGGCGGGGGAGCACGGAGCGAAGCTGCCCCCCGGCCCTTTGTGCGCCCGGCCCCGCCGTCCCCTGGCTGCGGGCTGGCTGGACGCGCTCCCCCGCCCCAGCCTGGGAAGCTGCCACGTCGCAGCTGGGGGCGCGCGCCTGCCTGGACCCTCCGCGCGGCACTCACAGTGGCGCCGCGTCTGCTCTTGCGAGGTGGGGGCTGTCAGGGCCGCCGGCGCCCAGGCCGGCCGCGAGCCTGAGGCTCTGCAGAGCGAGCGCACGACCCGCAGGTAGCCGGCCATCCCAAGCAGGAGAGTGAAAGAGCAGGGCGGGAGGGGTCAGAGCGCGCGCCGCTCCTCCCAGCTGCCTTGCCGCGGGCTAACGCTGGGCCTGGCGGGCGCGGGCCGAGCGGACACCACCGGGGCGGGGCTGCCGGGCCCGCCGCCCCATTGGGCCTTGCCGGGGAGGAGGCGGGGCCAGGGCCTCCGACGCCTCCAGTGTCCCGCGAAGCCGGGACCCAGAGGCCGGGCCTGGCCGGTGCTTCTGTGGGCGCTGCTGAAAGCCCAGCTCTGCAGGAGCTACAGGCGTGAGACCTACCGGGACCCGCTAGCGGAATCGGGGCTGGGTGATTAGCAGAGCCGCTTGCGAGGCTGACCCTCTCCAGGATGCCCCATGTAAACCTGTATGTCAGTTACTGGCGCTTTAGCTTAAACCCAAAGGTCAATCTGAGCGAACCCTTGCTTCCCTCGCCTGCAGGGCGGAACCCCAAGGCGCATTAGCCCAGCGCAGCTGCTGCATTCTTGAGCCAAGACCACCGGCGCCTGCGCCTCCTCGAGTCCGCTGTCGCGTCCAGCTGGTGTAGAGAGTTGAAATCCCACTTTGGGCCGGGCGCGGTGGCTCACGGCTGTAATCCTAGAACTTTTGGGAGGTCGAGGCAGGCGGATCACTTGAGGTCGGGAGTTGGAGACCAGCCTGGCTAACATAATGAAAACCCCGTCTCTACTAAAAATACAAAAATTAGCCGGGCATGGTGGTGCGCCTGCAATCCCAGCTACTCTGGAGGCTGAGGCAGGAGAATCACTTGAACCTGGGAGGCAGAGGTTGCAGTTAGCTGAGATCATGCCACTGCACTCCAGCCTGGACAACAGAGCGAGACTCAGTCTCAAAAAAACAAAACAAAAACAAAAACAAAAAAACCGAAGAAAGAAATATGATTGGACCAGAAGGCCAATAACCTGAGTGGGGAAACCCAGCAAGGCCTGTCCATGTAGATTCTTCTTGGCCTCTCTCTGCAGCAGTCCTTCCTTCTGAGGATGGGGCAGGACTCTCTCTGGGATGGAGGGGTCTTAGGACCTGCAAGCAAACAAGGTAGGTCAGATAATTTATTTATGGCCAGTTTTTACCCAGAAACGTGTGGGAGAAGGTTAGAGTAATATTTTTGGGTTCGATGTCTGGCTTTGGGGGAGAAGGGCTCTGGTTTCTATGACCTGCATTGAGGAAGAAGGATTCTAGTTTCTATGGCTGGCCTCCGAGGAGAGTGAGGGGCCGAAGACAGGAGGGAGGGAGAGGGTCAGAGAGAGCTGCTCCTGAGGCCTGCGTTTTGGGGTATTGTTTTCTGAGACCCTGGAGTAATCAAGCAGCCACAGTAGAAAACAGTTCCATTTTTTCCTGTTTGCATAGAAAAGATTTTTTTTTAATTAAAAATAGAGATGGGAGGGTCTCACTATGTTGCCCAGGCTGGTCTCCAGCTGTTAAGCTCAAATGATCCTCCCGCCTAGGCCTCCCAAAGCACTGGGATTACTGGTGTGAGCCATTGCATCTGGCCACAAAAGACGGTTATAATTAGTTCTGCCACAAAGTTTCTCTCTTCATCTGTTTTCTTAAACTAAGACACTAGCTAAGGGCTGGGTTTTCTTTGGAAAAACCTGACCTCTTTCCCTTCTCTGCTTTCCCAGTCACACTAATTCACTCCAAATAGGAGCAACCTATGTGCTGTGTTCTCAGCCCTCCCCTCCACTGCCTCACAGTCAACAGTGCCAGGTGGAGCTGGGCCAGGAAGGTGACCTTCGACTAGTGACTTCAAAGCTCCCCTCACCGAGTCCTAGCCGGCAGAGCTACTGCTCTGGCCCTAGGATCCAGAAGGCTGAGCCCAAGGGAGGGCTGCTTTTGGGCCCCCCAGAGTCTGAGACCTCTGTCAAAGGCCTGGTCTTGGGCCAGCTTGTGCCAGAAAAGACCCCTTATCCCTTTGACTCTGTTCAGAATTCTGTTGCTCCAAACACAAGTAGAGATCATGGAAACCTCTGGCATTCGACCTTCCTGCCAACCTGGTATTATCAGGTGCCTGGATCTCAATGTCCACACCTGTAAACTGGAAGACTGGACCCCTGAAGATCCTTCTGGTTCAAACAATGAGACTTATGTATGTCAACCACCCACACCACCACCTCTGAAATGGTGGTAATGAAATTGCTGCCCCCCTCCCCCTACCAAGGACTCGCCCCTTCCTCTGCATGGCGGACTGGTATCTCAGAGGCCTGGCCAGAGGCAGCACTGTAGGTGTGTTCCAGAGTCTGGCCTTTGCCTGCTGAGGGATCAGAGAGGGAGCAGTTGTGTTCCTTGTAAGCACAGCAGCAGCTGGAGGCAATTGAAGCAAAATCTTTAAACTGCCTCTAACTGCCTGCCTCCCAAGCCCCAGCTCCATGCCAGCCTTTCCCATACAATCCCTGTTTGATGAGGCAGCTGATGCCAGCTCCATTGGCTCGTAGAGGTTTCCACACTTGCTCAATGGTGCACTGCTGGGAAGTAGTAAAACTCCAGTTCAAATCAACTCCAATCCTGTTGTTGTTGTTGTTGTTGTTGTTGTTCTTTCCAAGACAGGGTCTTACTCTGTTGCCCGGGCAGGAGTGCAATGGCATGATCACGGCTCCCTGCAGCCTCAACCTCCCAGGTTCAAGTGATCCTCCTACCTTAGCCTCCTGAGTAGCTTGGACTACAAGAACATGCCACCATGCCTGGCTAATTTTTTTTCTATTACTTTTTTAAGGAGAAAGAGGGAGAAACCACAGCCCCTATTTATTGTGCTGGTCTGGAATTCCTGGTGATGGTAACTATTGGCTCTGAAAGCTGCTGCAGAGAAAGATGGTGTTTAAAGGAAAGGGGCTCAGATCCTCCCGTTTGGGGTCAGTGGAATTGAAAATTTCCACCCCTCCACATTTTCAATCAAACCCTAATTTGTCGTTGAATTTAGGTCACGTGCAAGTTCCCTGTGGAGGCACAAAAATTTGTATTACTCCGTCCCTATCCTCTGGGAGCCAGACACACATGTATACAATCACCATAAACGCAGGCACAAGAGGAAAGTGTCTGCTGGGTGTGGTGGTTCACACCTGTAATCCCAGCACTTTGGGAGGCCAAGGCAGGAGGATCCCTTGAGCTCAGGAGTTTGAGACCAGCTTGGGCAGCAGAGTGAGACCTTAATCTCTATTAAAAAAAAAAAGAGAGAGAGAGAGAGAGAGAGAGAGAGAAAGAAGGTGTCCCAAGAGGAGTGTAGATGATCTGGCAAGGAGAAAAGCACCTTGGGTGCAGGAGACCCTGGAGAGCCTGGGGAAGGAGCATCCATCTAGCTGCCTCTTCAAAGAGCTCTAAGGTCTCGGGGGAGGCTGGACAGGACAGCTAGGAGTGGTCAGGGACTCACATTTCTTTTTCTTTTTTCTTTGGAGACAGAGTCTTGCTCTGTTGCCCAGGCTGGCGTGCAGTGGCGGGATCTCGGCTCATTGCAAACTCTGCCTACCAGGTTCAAGCAATTCTCCTGTCTCAGCCTCTCAAGTAGCTAGGATTACAGGTATGCGCCACCACGCCCAGCTAATTTTTGTATTTTGAGTAGAGACAGGGGTTTCACCATGTTGGCCAGGCTGGTCTTGAACTCCTGACTTCAGGTGATCAGCCCGCTTCAACCTCCCAAAGTGCTGGGATTACAAGCATGAGCCACCGTGCCCAGCCTCCTTTTTTTTTTTTTTTTTTTTTTTTTTTTTTTGAGATAGGCTGGAGTGCAGCAGTGTGATCTCAGCTTATTGCAACCTCCGCCTCCCAGGTTCAAGTGATTCTCTTGCTTCAGTCTCCCAAGTAGCTGGAATTACAGGCACAAGCCACTACACCAGCCTTTTTCTTTTTTTTCTTTCTTTTTTTTTTTTTTTTTTTTTGAGACAGGTCTCACTCTGTTGCCCAGGCTGGAGTGCAATGGTGCAGTGGTGCAATCTCAGCTCACTGCAGCCTCGACCTCCCGGGCTCAAGTGATTCTCCCACCTCAATTTCGTGAGTAGCTGGGACTACAGGTGCATGCCTGGCTAATTTTTGTATTGTATGTAGAGATAGGGTTTCAGCATGTTTCCCAGGCTGTTCTGGAACTCCTAGGCTGAAGTGATCCTCCCACCTTGGCCTCCCAAAGTGCTGGCCTTACAGGAATGAATCCCGCAGGTGCTCACATTTCATCCAGCCAACACTCCAGGGCATTCATTTTGGGGTGTGCAATAGGCAGACGGTAACATCTGGCAACAGTGGTGAGAGGGTATTGGGATCGAGCCTGGGGAAGGGAGACAAGAGTTCCTGAGCCAGGGACAGGCCTGACACAGGGTGCTGGCAGAATCCCAAAGAGGGGCAGGACTCCAGAGGTGGCGTAGAAGAGATAGAATCAGCAGGAATTGTAGCTGGTTGGACATGGGGCATGGCGGGGGGAGGAGTCAGAGTGACTCAGACTTCCATCCCTGGGACTGGAAGAATGGCACAGCCATTATTAGAAATCGGAGAATAGGAGGAGGAGAGGGTTGTGGGAGAGGCGTTGACAGCAGAGCTATTTATGGTCATCTCCAAACTTATTTCCCTGCCAGCTGTCTGTGTCCCCTCCCCCACCCAATCTGCCCTACCTGCTGCTTCCAGCACTGTCCTCCTAAAGCCCAATCCTGAGCAGCTACTCCACAGCTCAGATACCCACAGGAGCTTCCCACGCCATACACAATCAACTCTGAACAGCTTCTAACAGTCCATGGCCTCCACCTCCCTCTCCTCTCTTCTCTTCTGCTATTTCCCCCTCCCAAGGATCCCTAAATGTAGCATTCTCCTGAATTGTCACTGCCTCTGTGCCCTTGCATTGTCCTCTCCCTCCACCAAACAGGTTCTCTACTGCCCACAGCCAGACCCAACCCACACTTGGTGGCTGCTACGGACTGAAGTGGTTTTTTCTCTTTTTTTTTTTTTTTTTTTTTTTAGATGGAGTCTGTGTCACGCAGTCTGGAGTGCAGTGACATGATCTCAGCTCACTGTGACCTCCACCTCCCAGGTTCAAGCAATTCTCCTGCCTCAGCCTCCTGAGTATCTGAGATTACAGGTGTGCACCACCATGCCCAGGTAGTTTTTTTTTTTTTTTTTTTTTTTTTGAGATGGAGTCTTGCTCTGTCACCAGGTTGGAGTGCAGTGGCATGATCTCAACTCACTGCAACCTCCACCTCCCAGCTTCAAGCGATTCTCCTGCCTCAGCCTCCTGAGTAGCTGGGACTACAGGCACCTGCCACCACACCCAGCTAATTTTTGTATTTTTAGTAGAGATGGGGTTTCACCATGTTGATCAGGCTGGTTTCGAACTCCTGATCTCAGATGATCTGGCCACCTCTACCTCCCAAAGTGCTGAGATTACAGGCGTGAGCCACCGTGCCCAGCCAATTCTGTTTTTTAAACCACCCAATCTGTGATATTTTCGTTATAGCATCCTGAACTAAGACAATGGCCAAGTCCAAGCCCACCTTCACAAGCCTGCACTGAGGGTAGGGTGCTGCAGGGACAACAGCATTCATTTACCTGAGTCATCATGTAGGGTATCCAACGCCCCAGACCCCTCCAATAAAAGAGCACAAAATCTATTCTGATTTTAGCTTTGGAAAGTGGACATCAATGGGGTTGAGAAGCAAATTTGAAAGATTTTAAAATACTATTTAATTTCTTGAAATTTTCTCTCATCACTTAAGTTAATCCTAAAAAATACTAATATTCTTAAAAATTCCTAATATTAATAAAACTAGGGAGCCATGAGCCATTTGCGGTGGCATGCACCTGTAATCCCAGCTACTGGGGAGGCTGAGGCAGGAGGATTGCTTGAGCCCAGGAGTTTGAGGCCAGCCTAAGCAACATAGCTTAATCGAGTTAAAAACCAGAGAGCCAGAGTTGGGGCCACAGGAAATGATTAAAAGCCATTAAAAAGAACCAGGTGCTGGCCAGGAGTGGTGGCTCATGCCTGTAATCCCAGCACTTTAGGAGGCCGAGACAGGTGGATCACGAGGTCAAGAGATCAAGACCATCCTGGCCAACATGGTAAAACCCTA